TTCCTGTTTGATCGTGAAAGCAGAGAAGCAAAGGGGAAAAATGTTGGGGTTTTTCTTTTGTACGTAAGATTGAGATTTTGAAGAAGGGGAAAAAGTTTAAGTGGGTATAAATAATAAGAAGTGGGTTTGTGGGGTTTCCCAATCCAAATTCAATTAGGATAATTTGTTTAGGCCCAAATATATACCAAATTTTAGGAATAAGGTGTAAAGTTGGGCTTTGAGTTAACTTGGACTAGGCTCCTAATTTGTATGGGTAGATTGATTATTGTCAATAGTTAGTAATGGCTAAATAGCTTAAAACTAATTTATTATTTTTGAAATATTTATAAAATTATACAATTATAGTAAAATAATCATATAATTAATAATAAAATATAATTATTATAATTACAAAATCATGGGGGATTACAATCTACCCCTCTTAAAAGAAGTTTCGCCCTCGAAACTTAACCCAAAGTTCATAATTTCTCCAAAACCATTCAAATATTTTGTGTTTTGTATTGCTGTAAATTGCTTGATCCTCATCATGTACGCTCAACAAACTGAACTTTATACTCAATGAACTCATACTTGGCCAAAGTTTACACGCTTTTATTGCATGTCAACACAATAATAATGTATAATAATAAGCAAAATCATGCAAACTCAAGCAATAAATAGCATAAATGAGGTAAAAAGCGTAGAATTACATCGCACTCTACCCCTCTTAAAGAAAAGAGTTACGCCCCCATAACTCACCTCAATAACATCATTAGACACTTTTCTTTCATCTCTTCTTTATGCAATGATTTATTCTCAACTTGCTTCTCTATAATTTTCTCAAATATAAACAGTTCAATTCACATGGCATTCAATAATCCTTTTAGCTCTCCTTGGCTAACAACGTAAGACTCTTATGATTCGTAAAGATCTTACAAGTGACATTGGTTAGATAATGTCTTCGAATGAATCTCCAATGTACATAGTTCATATTTTAGCAATCTCTAGATTCTCATGATCATAGTAGGGTAATTGGTCTCATAAGATTTGCCTAGGCAAGAAGCATTATCATTTTCCCATTTGTTGCAACACACTCCCATTAAGTATAAACTTCAAATTCACCACTCCCATTAGGCAAGACTAAAACAGGTTCAATAGTTATCCTATGTTCTTTAAGAGTTTTAAAGGCTTGAGTACACTTTTCATCCCATTCAAACTAACTCTCCTTTATCAAGGTAGTTTCGCTAGCAATCCTCAAAAGTCCTTCACAAACCTCCCAAAACATCTAATCCCAATAAACTCCTTATATCGGTCACATTGTTAAGTATATGCCACTAACTCACTGCTTGAATCTTAAAATCAAAATACTTATTATTATTTTTATTTTTATTTTACGTAATGTCCCAAAATGTAACTTTCTGTCATTAATAAAACTCACACTTCGAAAACTTAGTGTATTACGAGTCGTCCCTAAAAGTTGTCAACAGAATCCTTAAATTTCCATTATGATAATCCTCACTCCTTAAGTATAGCAAGATCTCATTAATAAAACCACAAATTTATCGCATTACTGTACTCATGGAACACTCGATTCGTTAAATCCATAATGATTGCTAATACATTAATTAACCCAAAAGACCTGATTCATATTTCCACATTTATGAATCCATGGGCTCCTCAAAATTTTCTTTCACAAAATCGATTGATAAGACTTCTCTTCAACTTGGTTTTCCAATTCTCCCAACGAAAGTCAACTGTCTCACGAATCGTATATCTATTCTCTTTCCACCAAATATTTTCTCCTCAAATTCTTATGGCAATTCAAAGCAACAAAAACTCATCTTTCACTATCTAGTTCTAAAGAAAAGCAGGGTCCCCACTCTCTTTAAAGTATGGCGGCTTGACCAAAACAAAATTCATACACATCTCTTGCGTAGTTTATCATCACCAAATGTTTCATCAATTCTCCAAGTATATTCCTAAATAAATCATAAGGTTTATGTTTCATTATTTATAGATATTAAATAATGAAATATAAACCTTACCAATAACCCAAAGCACCAAATAAACTAGATCATTAAATAAGCATAAACAAATAGTCACATAATTACAGGCTTCATATAATGATCATTCATATATACATATTACATTGCACAAATCATCACAAATTAATCTCTATTGTATTCTTTAATCCTTACACATGATACTAGGTGATCACAATACCCAAATTTGCACGACTATATAAAACATATACAATTAAATATAACTTGCATAATCACTACATTCAAAAATAAATAGCACCAAAGAATTAAATTACAATGCACATAGAAAGAAATCATTTAACTTATATGACCTCCTTAAGACTACCCAAACCTCACTCATAAAATAAAATAAATATTCAAGTTAAATGAATTAAAAAAAATACGCAGATTCAATAAATTTCAAAAATAATTAATAACATAGTGATTTATATAAATACATATATTTTATTTAAAACGCCGAAATAATTTAATAAAATAATTTTTTAAATTAAAGTTTTACTTTAAATCAAGTCATAAAATTCAAAATCGGAAGATTTAAAAACATTAGGCGCCTAAAACTTTAAATTGACTTTAGTGGTAATAAAATCGAACCTAAGCTCCCAGATACCACTTTGTAACGCCCCAATAATTCTCTCTTAAAAACCTGTGAGAAACCTGTATATAACCTGAACAATTTTAAGAGAATTACTGGCGTGCTACCGCCACGTGTTCAAACGTTAAGGCTATCTCAGAAATTAGCAGCGGAAAACCAAAACAGTTATAAATAAACTTAAAAACAAAAGAATTGATTCAAAATAAGTGTTACAAGTTGGAACTGTTTTGGGTGTTTTTGTCCCTCGGGAGAGTTACAACACGAAGACTGATCCGGCGTGAGCTGTACCTGCAAAACAAACGGAGACACCGGTTGGGTGGTGCTCCGCCTCCGATGAACAAGTTAGTAACTTGAAGGGAGAGAAAAAGTGCGGAAATTTAGGTGGGTATCTGCTCGGATTCCAAGCTCAGATGTCTCTATCACAGGGACAGTTTGTAATAAATGGTAAAACGTGCACTCCAAAAGAGGGGAATCTCCCTATTTATAGGGTCCTCGGGATTTGTGCCCCTGATTAGGTCACTGAACCCTAATCATTGGTGGGCTGCGCCGCATTGTGGCTTTCTCGAGATTTGGGCCTGAAGGTCGCCATTCCTCCCAGGTTTCTGGAGTGACATATGTCAAGCAGGGATAAGTCCACCCTGGGCCACCCTGGGGCTGACACGTGTCATCCTCTGATTGGACCACGTGGCGGGGTAAAATTACCCTAAACATTTGCCCCTCACAGATGTGACGTGGCATGCCACGTGGCATCTGTGACACGCGTCACGCTCCGGTTGGTGGTAATTTTACCACCAAAGAGTAACCGTTCACCTTCCGAGTAAATTACGGGAATGCCCCTGTATTTACCCTCTATATATAGCCATTTACCCTCTTCATTTTGTACGTTTACAAAAATTTTCAAGAGAGACGACTTTGAGAGAGCAGAAGTCATCCGTTTGAGTCAAGCGCAAGCAAGAAAACTCGTTCTTCGTCAACCCAGCCAGACCCGTCTATCTTCAGATATCAAATCTAAAGGTACCGTCTCTGTCTCTCTGAGCTCTTTTTATTGTTTCACCGCTTGTACATATTTCTTGCAATAAATGGATGCATCACCAACATACACGGCACAGCCTAGGTTAGAGTCCAGCCGGTCACCAGGGACGGCTGAGTCTAGGACTGGGAGTGTCGTCTCAGGGTTTTGGGACCACCCTTTTTGCTTGGATTCCGACCATTTATGTGTCTGTGCAGGACACAATGGCTCGGACTATGCAGACGGCCCCCGATCCGGACTACAGAAGCGAGGGCTCAGGCGGTCAAACGCCTGAGGGAGAAACGTCTAGTCAGAGAAACTAGACGGATCTGGAGAGATCCCCTCCGCGTGCCCCTTCAACTCCCGCAGATTCCTCTTTGTAAGAGTGCGAACAAGGCGGCGATGAAGCCGTCTCAGCTCCTTTGCCACAAAATGAGGGGGAGACGGAGAGCGACAGCTCCGCCTCCACTTCTGAGAGCAGTGACGACTTGCCACCGCTTGAGGATAGCGAGGAGGAGGAGAGGAAGAAGTGGAGTGAGAAGGACGACCCCTTCAAAATTCACGTCTCTACCAAGGATAGGAGTCAAATGGAGGACAACTTGAAGAGGTTTAAACAAATGCACCCGTTAGGAGACAGGTACAAAATTAGAGTACCGCCTGAGGACGGCACCATCGCCTGGGAAGACGATCAACAGAACGCCAACAGCTACTTCGGCTGCTATGAGGCGGCGCTCAAGGCTGGTCTTCGCTTTCCCCTTCACCAGGCGGTGAAGGCAATCTTGAGTGGCTACGGCCTCGGAGTCTGACAACTTACCCCCAATTCTTGGGAAAACATCTTGGGGTATGTTGCCTCCTGCGAACTCCAGGGGCTCCATCCCGAGTGAGAAGCTTTTCCTAAGATGCATTATCTTAGCCGAAGCCCAGGCGTTTGGAGGGCGTGGTACACTTTAACCACGTATCCCCAATACATGATGACCTTGGACAAGGTCTCTAAATTCGACGGCTGGAAGCACAGGTTCTACCTGCTGTCGGCTCCCAGCAAGCGGGAGAACTATGAGTTCCGCCAGTACAATAAGAAGCCCGACCTGATGAGCCGGAAGTGCGCTCTTCCTCGGATCCCTGATGAGGACTTTGACAAAATAATTGAGGAAGAGTTTTTCGGCCTCACAGACGCAACCTTGTCAACCGGGGAGACAATAAAATTCCCCAAGAACTGGATCCCTAAGAGCGCCTGGTTCAGGGACGAGTGTTTCTTAGCCGCCTGCGGGCTAGGAAACATGTTTACCAAACGTATGCGCCTAAGTTCACATCCGCCTATAGTACTTTTGTATCAGAATTGATTGATGATATATTGACCGATGTTTTTCTTTTTTTGCAGAAGAAGCTTTAAGAATGTTGCAGACGGAGAAGACACCCAAGCGGTCCTCTACAACCATCCGCAAGGAGCTTGTGGAAAAACATGCGGCCGCAGTAAAGGCCAAGGTAAAAAACGCCTGACTCTTTCTTAGATTGGTATCAGAGTTTACTTTCTCCGGATGCTAACTTTAACTTGGTTATTTTCACAGGGGGGAGAGGTAGGAAAGACGTTTGAGAAAGATCTCAAACGGGCCAGGGAGGAATCCACCTCCACCCCTAACAAGACCAAAAAATCCGCCTCCGCCTTAACTAGAACCCATTTGAATTCCCGTCTGAGCTCGGGTGGCCTTTGCGAGTGAAATCCCACTCCCAACAGACGTCATCCTCAGACGGTCGGCAACAGATAGGTGCTGCCTTAATTTCACACTCATCACCTTTTGATTATGGTGCAGATCAATCTCCCTACTGGCCAGACTTCCAGAGGCATGCTAAAGCCATGCTGGAGGCGGTGAGCAGGAAGGACAAGAATGCTATCCCTGGGATGGAGACGTTCAACCTTGAACGAATCTTGTCCCTTCTGGCTGAGGTAAGATATTTAACAAATTTTTTTTTTTTAAGTGTTTTACTCCGCCTGCAATATTAACTTGATTTTCTTTTGCAGGCTCTGCTGCAGGTAGATGGGCTCAAGCGTCCTTATTCCCGCAAACGGGAAGAGGTAAAAAGGGCCAAGAAGTCCGCCATAGACGCTGATAATGTTGCTTTACACTCCACTATCATAAATGAACTTGAAACTAAAGCAATCACAATGACACAGGCGTCGAGAATCCAGCAGCTGGAGGCGGACCTGAAGACGGCCAACCAGCGGGCGAGCGACGGTAAGACGGCTCAGAAGAAGGCGGAGGAGGCCCAGAAAAAGGCAGATGAGAGTCTCAAGAAGGCTGACGAGGCGCTCAAAAAGGCCGAGGCGGACCATGGCACACTCAAAGGTGTTTCTGAAGAGAACACCAACTTAAAAACCAAGGTGGAGAAACTGGAGAAGGAGGCGGCCCAGGCTCAGATAAACTTTACAGCAACCCTGGAGGCGGAGCAAAACCGCCTAGTTGCTGAAAGCGATGCTGACAACGATGCCAGAATGAAGATCGCCTGGGCTGCCTTGTACCCAAACAAGGATTATGGCATCTGGGCACTGGCTCACTGGTACGCCGAGGACGTGGTGTACTTGAGAGAGAAAGGTGAGCCAGAGCCTGAGTCCTTCGACGTCTGGGCCAACGCCAACACTGAGCTTCCCACGCCTAAGCTACCCGGTCCTGGTGAAGCACAAGAGATTCCCTTAGAAGATGAGTAAGAGAAGGACCAGGAGGAGCCGCCTGTGGGCCAGCAGTGATTTTCAGCGGCAGTATGCCAACTCTTTTTTTATTTTTATTTTCTTTAATCTGCGGCAATATGCCAAGAACTTGCTTTTCCGGCCTGCGTGCCGAGTATCCTTGTATTTACCGGCTGAAGAGCCGGGTAATCAACAATTTCTATCTTCTCCCGGACGGGGTCCGGTTAACATTTGATCCACTACAACCGTTTGGTTGGGTGGACTTTTTATGAATGCACCGACTGAGTCGGTTTTGATCATTTTGCATTTATGTTTGGATTTCAATTTTTGCATTTTTGTGTATATGCCTGATTTTTGCCTAACTTATCAAAAGAATGCGGCGATTTGTTGCCTAACTTATCAAAAGCATGCGGCGATTTTTTGTCTAACTTATCAAAAGTCGGCTGTCCTTGCCCCTGGACGGCTGTGTGGTTGGTTTCAAATGGAGTTGGTTGATTTACTTAGGAACGTCTGATGCTGCAAAGAGCATGATACGTTTGTAAGTCAATCAATCACAGTAGTGATTGCCCCAAACCAAGTGCACAGCCGTACACAAACAAGCGATCCGGTCACTACCCAAACGGTTTTTTCCGTCTTGGTAGAGATTGCATAGCCATTGCACAACTCTTTTGCCCCAATTGGGATAGAAAATGCAACTTTGGAATAAATAACCCAAGTGAGAACTTCAGCCGGTGACCGACTGATGCCTAGGGGCATCCGGTATTCGGTAACTTGATCGTTCTTCGCAGATCATTCTGGTCAGACGGCTATGAGTTGGCCAATTCGGTCGTTCAATTTTTGTCGTCTGCATAGGTACGTAGAACTGACAAATAGTCTGTTCTCTGCGACGATTTCACCCGGAGAGGTGTCGTCGGACGCCTTTGTCCATGTTGGGGAAGGCGGTTTTATAAAATAAGCAACCATCCGGTTGTTTTAGCCTTTGGTCTTGTTTAGGACCGGTTGTATAGCCACTAAGCGTTTTTGTGCTTAGCTTTTAATCGGAGCATTGGCCGAGCGTTATTACATCATTAAATTTACACTAAGTGTCAAACTTAGTTGGTTTAAACAAAAAAGCCCGTCTTGGTATTACCTAGACAGACAGGCAATTATTAAATCATACCAAGTATCAAACTTAGTTAAATAAACAAAGGAACTATCTGAGTATTACCCAGGCGGTCAAATAACTGTAACCTTTACTAAGTATCAAACTTAATTAGGTAAATGAAGAATCCTTTTGAGTATTACCCAGGCGGATAATCAAAACAATTTTGCAAACAAAGTCTGAATTCTCATTAATTGACTCACTGTTTACAAAAAACCTACATTCTCAGAAGTAGTACTCTTTCAAATTGTCTACATTCCAAGTTCTGGGAAGGCTCCTGTCGTCTGGAGTTTCTAGGCGGTAGGTGGCGTCTCTTACTTCTTCATAGATCCGGTAGGGGCCTTCCCAATTTGGAGTTAGCTTTCCCAGCTCATTGGCCCTACCGGTTGCCTCCATTTTCTGTAACACTAAGTCGTCAACTTTCAAGGGACGCTTGTGTACTCTCTTATTGTAAGCTCTGGTCATTCTCAGACGGTAAATCTCATGACGCAAGGCGGCATTGCCCCTGCGTTCTGGGAGTGAATCTAATGCCAGGTGCATTGCTTCCCAATTTGCCTCTTCATCATATAGCATGACTTTGAGAGTCGGCTCATAATGTTCAATGGGCAAGTCGGCTTCAGCACCGTAAACCATGAGAAATGGGGTTTCACCGATTGCCCCCTTTGCTGTTGTCCGAACGGCCCATAGGACATGGATTAACTCTTCTGCCCACAAGCCACCGGCTCTTTCAATTTCCGCTGAGATCCCTTGATCTCCTAACCAAGTTTTGAGCTTAGGCGTCTCAAACTGAGGACCATTATCGAACACCATAGACATAGGCACCCCATACCCGGTGATAATGTTCTTCCAGATGAAGGAAATTACGTCTGAGGTCTTGATGTTCTTAACCGCCTCAGCCTCCACCCACGTGGTGAAATAATCCACCGCCACCAAGATGTAATGCTTTCCGCCTGAAGCAATCGTGTAAGGACCTAAGATGTCCATGCCCCATTTCGCAAACGGGATTGGGCTGTGGATGGCTGTCAGATCAGTAGCCGGACGGTGAATAAGTTTGCCAAATTTTTGGCACTTGTCACATTTCTTCACCAACTCCTTGGCGTCTGCCTCAAGAGTAGGCCAAAAATAATGTCGTCTATCTCTGACGGCTAGGGACCTGCCGCCTATGTGGGGGCGCAAAATCCCGAGTGCAAGTCTTTGAGAACTTCCTTCCCCTTTTCCGGGGTAACACACTTCAACAGAGGCTTCAGAAACCCCGCCTTGAAGAGTTCTCCATTTCTCAACTCGAAGCTTGCAGCTCGCTTCTTCAGGACGGCTGCCTCCTATGGCAAACCAGGAAGTTTACGTCTGAAAGGTAGTCCCGGATGCCATCCATCCAGGTAGAGCTTCGGTCTAGAATTCCAATGGGATCTTCATAGATGCATCTTTTTTCAAGTACTTCCCAGAAGACTGACCAAGGCGTATCATGGTAGGTGGAAGATGCCAGCTTTGACAATGCATCAGCCTGGTTGTTGTCCGACCTAGGCACTTGATTCAGACGGAATTCCTCAAGTGCCTTAGTCTCTTCTTTGACTGCCTGAAGGTATTTGATCATAGCCGGATGAGTTGCCTCGTATTTTCCCTTATACTAGCTAACAACCAACTGTGAATCAGAGTAGGCGTCAATTTTCATTCCCCCTACCGCCTTACACATACGGATACCGGCTAGCAGGGCTTCATATTCCGCCTCATTGTTAGAGGCCTGAAACTTGAAACGTAGTGCATACTCATATCTGTCCCCTTCGGGGGACTCGTATATTACACCTGCACCACAGCCGTTTTTTGTAGAGCTCCCGTCTACAAACACTTTCTAAACCTGATCAAGATTATCCGGAGCCACCGGACGGGTCATTTCAATAATGAAGTCAGAAAACGCCTGACCTTTCACTGCCTTTCTTGGTTCATAAGTGATTTCAAGACTTTGCATTTCATTAGCCCATTTCAACATTCTCCCGGATGTCTCCAAGGTGGACATTGGCCACTTGAGTGGCTGGTCGGTGTAAATCACCACCGGATGTGCCAGAAAGTAAGGCTTCAGTTTTTTGAATGCCATATACAAAGCAAGGCCAAATTTTTCAACCATGGGGTACCGGAGTTCAGCATGTTTGAGAACATTGCTAATGAAGTAAACCGGGAGCTGAACGTCATCTCGCTCAGCAAGGAGAACGACACTGAGAGCATGATCTGAGACGGCTAAATACATGTACAACGTCTCCCTAGGCAAGGGACTGACCAGCCTAGGTAGAGAATGCAAATGCTCTTTTAACTTCTTGAATGTCGTCTCAGCATCGTCCCCCCATTCAAACCTGGTCTTCTTCCGGATTCCTTGGAAGAAGTAAAGGCATTTGTCACCTGACCGGCTGAGGAACCTCCCCAAGGCGGCCAGGCAACCGGTGAGTCTCTGAACTTCCTTGACAGAATGGGGTGACTTCATGTCAATCACCGCCTGTATCTTTTCGGGGTTAGCCTCTATCCCCCTTTGATCAATCAGGAATCCGAGAAACTTCCCAGACTCAACACCAAAGATGCATTTCTTGGGGTTTAACATGACCTTATGCCGCCTGAGGGTGGTGAATGTTTCTCGGAGATCATCAAGGTGATCCGCCTATTGCTTGGATTTGACTATCATGTCATCAATGTACGCTTCGACATTCCTCCCAATTTGATTAATGAAGATCGTATTAATCATCCGCTGGAAAGTGGCAGACGCATTTTTTAAGCCAAAAGGCATCACAGTATAACAGAATAACCCCAAATTAGTGATGAAGGCCGTCTTCTCTTGATCTTTCTTCCAGAGGCGTATCTGATGGAAACCGGAATAGGCATCCATAAAGCTCATCAAGGCGTGACCGGCTGTGGAGTCGACCAGACTGTCGATCTTTGGAAGCGGGTAACTGTCCTTTGGACACGCCTTGTTGAGGTCTGTGTAATCAACACACATGCGCCAGGTCCCATGCGGTTTTTTAACAAGGACCACATTGGCCACCTAGTCGGGGAAATTGCAAGGCCGAATGAACCTGGCGTCTAGCAGCTTTTTGACTTCGGCAGCTGCCGCCTGACTTCTTTCCTCGCCGTGGTTTCTTTTTTTTGCCGGATGGGCTTCTTTTTGGGGTCCACGGCGAGTTTGTGGACAGCGAGATCCGGGCTGACGCATGGCATCTCTTCCACCTCAAAGGCAAAAATGTCTTTGAGTTCTTTCAGCAGAAGGTGCAAGCTTGCACCCAGAGTAGCATGAGCAACCGTCCCAACCTTTACAATACGCTCTGGACGGCTGTCATCCAGAGCGAGATCAATATTTTCACCAGCCGGTTGGGACGGAGCTCATCTGACCGTTCACCGGTCAGTGATTGCTATTTTTTCTCTTTCTTCACCTCCACCGGCAGAGGTGCCTTTCTTTCTTCCCGACTGCTGGTGGGGCAGGTACTGGCTCGGCATCCTTGACATTGTCAAGGTCTATTGGTTCCTAGCCGCCTGGGGCCACAGTATCCTTGACGGCTGAGAGGTAACACTCCCGAGCCGTCTTCTGATCCCCATTCAAGGAACCAACAGAGCCGTCATCCCTCTCATACTTGATGAGCATGAGAGACGGGATGATTACCGCCTTGGCTTCGTTGAGAGTAGACCGACCAAGGATAATGTTGTAGGCGGTCAACTCCTCAATGACCAAGAATCTCCCAACCGGATGGGTAAGTTCAATTTCTCCCGGCTGGGTAGACCATCCCAACCCAAAACCAACCAAGGGGTGGGTGACCGGATGCATGCTGCTGACATTGTATTTCATCTTTTGCAGGCACCGGAGGCTTGATGATGTCTGATGAGCTGCCGGTGTCAATAAGGATCGTCC